TATCAAGGCCATGCTGAAAATCCGCAATATGCACCTCGAGAAATATTTAAAAAAATAAATCCTAATAATTTTGGAAAAAGGAAATAATGAGAGAAGAAAAGGAAATAATGGAAGAAGATAATAGAGCAGAATGGTTCATATATAAGTCGCAATAAGTCAATCTTAAACAACAAATATCGTGTATTCATTTCGTATCAAAAAAAAGAAAGAAACTTATAGGACATTGTAATATCTTGATGAGGAAAGTTGATTACGAATGAGAAACTATAATTTAATGATATTATTTCATATATAGATATTTGTCGTAAATACATAATACAATAAGATTGGAAAATTATATAATAGATAGATCATAGAAAATTCTTCCATGTGAAAATCAAGCACATCACATATCATTCTTATAATATTTCTAAGTAAACGGTAGTATGTGCTGATTAAACGATATACTATTTTATAATGTAGATGATCAATTTAAGACGATCAATTCCGATAATAAAATATTTCGAGATCCCATTCGATAGATGTATTTGTTAATATATAAATAATTCTTAATTAACTTACCATTAAATATTATTACCATTAAATATTTCTTTAATTAATTTTTCAAAAATGAAGATCATTAAATAAACATTTCATGATCGAAATAAAGATTATTATATTATATTATACACGTGGACCAAAATTAATACTTTATTCCTTCAGAATAATAAAAAGCAAAAAAAAAAAAAATTTGCAGAAAACTATATATTACTTATTTACTTACTTACTTACTATATATTACTTTTTTATCCTTTCGATAATATATAATACAAAAAAAAAAAAAAAAAAAAAGAAGTTTAATAACTATATTAAGAGTAAAAAGATCTAATAAATTTTTTTTTTCTATTATCATTTGTATATTCATTGTCATTCATTGATATAGTTTCATCTAGTTTAATAAAAAACACAAATATATAAGTTTTGAAAATTCAGCAACAAAAATCAACAACACAATAAAGTTCTATTTATTAAAAACAAAAAAAATATTTATTTTTTTATGTGTACAATGATCTATGGTTTAAGATCATTCAAAGTGAATTTCAAAGAAAAATAATTTATTTTTGAGTGAATTTATTTTATGAGAACGATAAAACTCTATCGTATTTTTTCTGATTTATGTCAGTAATGTCGCGTTGGTAATTAAAAATATTTAAATGGTTTTATTTTAAATGAATTTGTGTTTGTGGCTAATAAACTGATAAATTTATAATGAATTTATAGATATTTATAAAAATTAGTTTAAAGTTTTACAATATGTTATATAATGTATTTCTCTAAACTTACAAAATGTTCTGAAAACATTCATTATTTGATAATTGAGCGTTAAAGTTTAGAGATTAAAAATAACAAAAATGCAATTTATCAAATATAAAAATTTATAAATTGATATATATTGATATTATAATTAATAATTTGAATATTATAATTAATAATTCATTTTAACTCTAAATATTCATATATATATTCATAATGTTTTTATTACTTATAAATATTCACATGTTAATTATTTATTACAAATTGTTTGCTTTATTACAAATCATATATTTCTAAAAGTTAAAATTGCAAACTTATATTTAAATTATTTTGAATAAATAATATTAAAAAATTGTTTCAAATAAATTAAAAATAATAAGATTAACTAATCTTATATAATTATTTTTATACAATAATTATTTTACGATAATTATTGTTTTATTTAATTTTTTTATTTTCATGAAATAATAGATATAAAATGATATTTAAAGTGATATAATTTACAAATATTTATATTATAGTTAATTTCAAATTTTTTAAATTTTTTAAATATTTTTCTCGAGATATAAAATCATATGTATGTATATGTATTGAGAAATCATATGTATATATTGTATAAATTTTAAAGTAACAATCTGAATTTAATTTTCACAATTTTCTATTTTACCATTAATTATATAATCAAAGAGTATATTTATTATAATCAAAGAATTACTTATATATTATTTAAGAAGTTTGAATCGTAAACTGTTAATACATTCAATATTTGCAAATTTCAAATAAATAATATTTACCTATCAACATTGTTCTAATATGGAATATACGATGCATATATGTAGATATATATATGTACAGAAGATCCCATGTAAAAATCGTCACGATTTTTTTTCACATTCAATAATCTAAAAAAAAAGATCATTTTAAATAAAAGTTAGTCAGTTTTTTATTGACTATAAATTATGATATTAAAATTTAAAAAAAAAAAATAAAAGCTGTCTATTTTAGATTTTATAATGTTGTTGCTTATTTTAATATAAGTTCAACGGTGTTTTATATAACCTTAAAATGACTATAAAATTAAAAATATGAAATCAATGAACAGGAATATTTTCCTGGAAAATTATCTCTCATTTTATTTTATAACATATAAAAATTATGTGCATCTTTTATATTTATTCAAGGATAGTAGCATATCATATTTTTTCATTATTGAAATACATTTTTTATAATCTATATTTATACTACAATTTACTCAAATGATAAATTTTTTGATGAAATACAACAAGAAGAGTTATAAATTTTTGATATTTTTAATGTAGATTATTCATTAATTCTTAAATTCAAAATATGGAGAATATTAATATATAGGACACTAAAATACTTATTTTTTTGGTAAGTTGGTTCCATGATTTTGTTTTCACAAAATTTTTTTATGAAGAATATGAAAAATATGAAGAACTGAAGAATTTTTAATATGTAAAATGTAATTTATATAAACTTAACATTTTTTATAAAAATATTTCCGTTCATTCATTTCATATTCCTGATTTCACAGTAGATAGGTCATTAAATTTTTACATAAACTTTAATATTATAAAATTTAAAGCAAATAATGGCATTTTCAAATGTTTTGTTTTTTCAATGAAATTTTTTTTCTTCGCTTTTTCTAAATCTTCGTTTTTTATTGAAAAATTATTTTTTGCGAAATTTTACATTGTAATTATAGCCGCTAAAAAAAATTGATTAACTTTTATGAAAAATAATTTTTTTCAAATTATCGGAAGTATTTAAAATTGAAGGAACTCTTTTAAATAGATATATTGCATAATGCTTGATCTTAAATTTTTAAGAAAACTATAAAAATGAGACTTATATGATAATTAATATATGATAAAAAGATAAAATTATATTTAAGAGACAATGACAATAAAGTTCATATATTTACCATTCATTAATCATATCTTCTTTAAATACACCATAATTATATACATATTATATGAAATTTAACGAAATAATTTCATTAAACGAAAATTAACGCACATCTCAGTTTGACATAATTTTTATTTCACACATAATAAACGCAGTTGATATATCACAAATGAATATCAATGAGTAGTAATATAAAGTTAAACTCTGAAATTGCACAACATTTAGAAACAGAATAAAACAATCTGTACGTATCTCTTCAAACAATTTAGAAAGTACTAGCTCCCATAGAATTGTATTTTAATAGATTTGGCGCATTGCATGTTACAATAAAAGATATATTAGCGTAAAAGGTTCTCTATAGATAAACTAAAATTGGAACACAACCTTGGGATCAATCAATGAAAATATTAGGCATATTTCATTGCAAACTGAATTTATTACTTACTTCGCTTATATCATAGTCATTTAAATCATAGTATAATAGAATGCTATCAAGACTAACCTAATGACATTGATTAATTTATGTTAAATTTAGATTTGTAATTACATTATTTTATCGTAATAGTTTACTTTATGAAATTAAGCAATTATTAAACTAATTATAATGTCTATTTACTATTAAAAATATTAATATTTATAATAATTAGTATTAATATTTACAATAGAATATTACTAAAATTACATTAGAAATTTCTAATTTTTAATATAATATTATTTTTAAAATTATTATTCTTTTTATAAAAGAATAATATTATATTTTCATTAAAATTTTTGTATATTTTAAATATCAAATATAAATTTAAAATTTTTATAGCCATTATATTTTAATAATTGCGTGTATATAATATTAATATAAAACAACAATAGTTACAAAAACAATTTTATTATAATATGGAATAATATATTTTATTAAGCATAATAATGTTTCATTACTTAAATAAATGATTCATTCATATATATTCAGCATATAATAATATACAATATATAATTTATATATTATATATCTTTAAGTTTTATTTAAAAAATGATATTATAATTTTTTATGAAATCTAATAATTGAAATCATTATTTATTTATTATTAATTTTCTAAAACCATAATATTTTAATTTTGTCATATATCAATAACAATTTATTTATATTAATAATGATTACTTTCTTGAAAAATTTTTTTTAAAATTATAAAACATAATGAATACATTGCGATAGCAATAATTATTGTTAATATAAAATATATAAAATAAATATTAATTTAAATATAACTTTAAATTATTTTATGAATAAATCCTAATCTATTTAATTTAATATAATATATCAATTTAATTATATGTATACATATATTTTATATTTACATGTATATATAGATGCATTATATAAATAATTAAAATTTTTTTTATATTTATCAAATTTTATTATATATATATAATATTACATATATAATATATGTAATATTATATGTATATATAATGATAATATATAAATATAAATATATATATAATATATATATAATAATTAATATATAATAAATAATTTTTACATTATATAGAAAAATTTAAATTAAAAAATAACATTTTTATAAATTTTATATTGTTATTTTAGAATAAAAAATGTTTTATTTTCAAGAATTTGTTTTTTTTCTAGTCTAATTTAGTTAATAATTACTAAAAATATGAATTCAATTATTTTTTTTTAATTGAAGCTGAAGTTTTTGTTTTTATAAGTTTAAATTCTGACGAATTATACAGAAGATAGGCACGCCTGCGCTGTATCGATCCGAAATTGACGGTCTCGTCTTTCCGTAAATGGAACAGTATTGTCCAAGTATGTACATAATAGTTCGATGAATTTATCACATTAAAGAACATGGAAAATTGTTTCTTTGATAATAATGCGGTGTTCCGGTCGAAAGTTTCTAATCTGGATCATTTTAATGTTCCTTTTTGTTTTGATTAGTCATCTCTTAATCAGTCGTGAATTATATTTATCAATATTGGCTATTACCGATATTTTAATATCAAAAAGTCATTCAAGTTCTCAACAAAACATCCAAATTGGAGCACCTGCTTTTTCAGCAGGCATGTACATGGCGGGTCTACATCCTAGGAATACAAGTTTTTGTAAATGGTACCATGGTCTACCAAATGTGCTTTCGTATCCTGCATCCAAAGTTACTTGGAGCCCTGAAATCGGTGAGAAGAGTCCCTACAGAGTTCTACCGTTTGTATTGCGCGGAACCGAGAAGAGGAATAAACTGCCTCAGGTGACCTTCTGCACGCACGCCACTGCAGATCAGGTCTATGGAATCGTGGAATTAGCTCGGAGATGGGAGGGCCCATTAAGTCTGGCCGTTTTCACGCCTGGCCTTGACGCTGGTATCGCCGTTGCTCTCCTCGATCGGGCCTGTCGATGCGAACCTGAAATGTATAAGGTTTTCTTATGCACTCGCTGTCAAAACGGGTTAATAGTTCAATAGTATTATGATTAAACTTAAATATTATATATATATTGCAATTATATTATTTTTAATTATTTTACTTGTCTTATTAAATACATAATTAACATAATTATTTCTAATGTCAAGAATATTTCATAAAAATTAGTATTAGTATAGTATTAGTATAGGATTTTAAATTTGATATAAAATCATATCTAGTCATTATAAAATATTTATAAATATATAATATGAATGCATTTAACTAACTTACAAATGCATATATCATATCGTATATATAATAATTTAAATAATGTAGAATAACAAAATATAATATCAAAATCCTAACATGTTTTATTACAGGTTTCTATTCACTTGGTATTTCCTGCTGATCATCCACCAGCTTTAGGACAAATTATTGAAGTTAAAGGTGATTGTTCTGCATCTGATCTTCAGAAAAGAGAAACAGAAAGGAAACAAAAGGGCATGATTTATCCTATTAATGTGGCCAGAAATGTAGCTAGAATCCAAGCAAACACTACTCGTGTTCTAGTAACAGATATTGAATTATTACCTAGTCAAAAATTAGCATCCGGTTTTATGAAAATCGTCCGTGAAAAACCACCAAAAAGTGGCGTTATTTTTGTGGTGCCAATATTTGAAATAGAATCAAAAGTGTTACCACCTTCGACAAAAAAAGAATTGCTTTCAGCAACAAAAGCTGGTTTAGCCGTGTATTTTCATAGGTTTGTGCAAATAATATATATTAATTATAATTATACAAAATAATTATAATTATGCAAATAATATACATAATTATAATTATACAAAAATAAAATTTACATTATTATAATTATATAAAGATAAAACTCACACATACATTTTAATTTTGTACATAATATATATCATTATGAGTAAGATATGGAAAATTTTTTTTTTATAGATTCCTCTGTTCACATTGTCAAAAATTTCCTGGACTTACTAGATGGTTAATTAGACCGGATCCGGGTAAGGTGAAACCACTTATTATTACAAGAAGGGAATATCCACATCATAGATGGGAACCTGTATTCATAGGAACGCAAAATGATCCCTTTTATGCTGAAGAAATGTCTTGGGAAGGTAGACAAGACAAAATGAGTCAGGTAATGTATATATTCATCGGTACAATCGATTATATTACATGGTAATAGTCACATTAATTATAAAAAGTACATTTTATGATTTAAAAATATATTTTTATAATTATTATAATAATGATAAATGCATTTATAAATTAAACTTTTTAAAATAAAATGTTTATTAATAATAAATATTAAAAATATATATTATATTAATTTTCATTTTATTGTCTTTTATAGATGTTCGAGATGTGTCTTTTAAATTATCGTTTAATTATACTTGACGGTGCCTTTTTAGTCCATACACCAGGTATTAAACGAAAAATAAAAATTGATGCAAAAAAACAAGCATTTTTAAAATCTCACGAAAAAAAAAATGCTCAAATATATCAACGAATAATTAAGCGTTTATCGAAACGATATCCTGTTAATCGTAAATGCGCGCATTAATATTTTCGATAACAGAAATCAATATTCAGTATTCAGAAAATTGCTTTTAATATAAGAATAAAATTAAATTAAAGATACATAAAACAACTATATCGTTTATTTAAAGCTATAGAATTATAGTAGATATGTTATCTAACGAACTAATATTTTGATGATAATCCAAAATATTTGTAGAACAAATGAAATATCAGAACAAAATTCATATAGTATAATGTACTATGTGTATTGTATAATTTACTTCTATAGGAATTTAATTATATTTTTGATTGTTTTGATATATTTATGAAATTTTAATTCATCAAAAAAGATATTTATTATAACCAGAGTCTAATAATATTATTATTTATTTGAAAATAACATTATACTTATACTTACATTCGCTGTAAAAAATTGTTCTTATATTTATAAATGAATGAATATGAAGAAAATAATAAAATGAAAATGTGCCTATATAAAAGTTGTAATATTAATATTATAATTCCATAAACAATATGTATGTATAATAATGTTACAATAGTAATATCTTTCATATCAGTCAGTTAATTGTTAACATAAAATATGTTATGCATAAGAGATATAAACATATCATAAAAATTATGAAAATATATTTTTTCATTATTTAATATAATTATCTATTTGATAATATAAAATAAAATATTAATTTGAATCATATAATTTATGATTTAGATTTTATATAAAAAATATCTCAAATTTGTAATATTATATATTATTATAAATAATTTTTCTACATGTGTTTAATTTTTTTATATAAATATAATATATATATATAATTTTTATATGTAAATATAAATTCATCAAAATTATCATCATTTATAGTAGTAAAAATATAAATCCACTTTTTAAAAAACGAAATAATTTTTTTAAAATTGGGTCAAATGATTTTTGAATTTTTTTGAAAAATTAGAAAAATTAACTTATTACATGAAATATAAAAAAAATATTAAAAAAGTTGCAATTTATTGAAAGAAGATATAGATTAAAAAAAAAATTATAAAAATCACTTTTTATCTGAACTTGTAAATTAAAAAGATATATTTTATAGATTTATATCAATTATATATATGTAAAATTTTATTGAAATCAGCTAATATTATGATCTATAAATAGTTAAAAATCGTGAAAATTGTAGTTCTTTAAGATTTTTGTAATAAATCTAAAAATTTTTATATTTTTAGATATTTATCTCTTGTTTCTGCATCAATCGATTTTGATGAAATTTTCAGTATGTATATATATCTGATATAAACAAATTGTATGTTTGAAATTTTCATAGGATCAGATAAAAAAATTGTAAAAATTGACCTTTACTATTTTCTTCATGATTCTATAGGATCAATTGGGATTTTAAAAATTTTTTTAATTTTTTATTTGTTATATAGTAAATTAATGCTTCTAATTCAAAAAAATTCAAGTCGTTTTCATCTTAAAAAAGTTATTCTTAAACTTTAAAAAATCTTTTTATTTTTGGTAAATTTATATTTTTGTCTGCTATTGTACATAAGAACATATATATATTATATTATATATTATTGATATTGATTATTGATATATCTTATTGATATCGTATTCGCATATAAGAATAAAAAAAAAATTTATGTACTCATACGTCTTAAATTATTGAACATTGTCTTGACTAATGATATAGAATGTTTAACATTTGAAACAGTTTAACAAAATATAAAACAATTTTAAGCGTGCCGAAAAAGCAGTTTATAAAAGCAACACTGTTAGACGACTGATTAAAATTAAATTGATCATATTTTGAAAAATAAATTCTGACAAATAAATTTTGAAAAATAAATTTTTACATATAAATTTTTGTGTTTCTAAAATCAATTTTTTAATTCTTCCACTTTTTTAACTTTATAAGATATTAGATATTAGATTAATTTACAAAATAAAAGAATTATGCTAATATAATATATATAAATAATATTTATTAATTCTTTAAAATAATTAAAAACAATCTATCTACAATTTTAATGAAATTTTATATTTAATTTGAATTAAATTATTACATCTCATTTTATATGAATTAATTTTTTAAGCTCGAGATATTAATTCTTCTTAATACAGCACTGTAATAATATGAAATATCAATAATTGAAAGTTAAATCAAAATTAATCTGTGAAATTTGTTGTAATAAAATATGTAATTCTTTTATACAAATTATTCATAAAATTTCGTAAATAATATATTTTATGTTAATTTCAATTAAAATAATTTTAAAGTTTTATGTAAAATATAAATAATTCGATATTTGAATGTGAATTTTGAAATTTCTTAAAAAGTTTAAATTTATATTCATAATATTCGCCTGCTGGGATTAAAAACGAGGTTATCCATGAAATATTCGTTATCAGAATGATTAATGATTACATACACGTCTAATGTGCATTTAGCATTCGAAAATGATGGACATATAAGAAAAGTAGATATTAACACTGAGTAATCGATCTTAAATAAAAATTGAATGAAAAGAGATAATGATAAATTATCTGCTTATTTCAAAATAAAAACAGAAATAAAAGTCAATAGAAAAATTGAGTTACGTGTATTGAAGTTACAGGCTCAGTCTTCGAGCGGTGGCGTATAAGCAAAGAAAGTTGAAGTGTTTTTTATTAAAGAAGTTAAGTAAGTATATTTTTAGTTATTTTGATTCAATAATAATTAGCAAATATTTAATTATAATGAACATCATTAATTGTAGCAATTATAACAATGGATATATTAAAGAATGTATCGTCGGCTTTTTGGTCAACTGATGTTTGGTTACCGCCTAATATAACGTGGGATGATATTAAACCTAATTCAGAAAATAAATACACAAATTTTCAACATTTAATTTATCCTTTACCTATGGCATTATTTCTTTTAATAATCAGATATGCTTTAGAAAGGTAATCATTCTATTTTATTGTTAATATATTTTTTCAATTTTATTATTTTTAAAATATAAAATTTGTAATTAAATTGAGGTTATAATATATATATATATATATATATATATATATTTAAATAAATATTTATATTTCACGTTATTTAAAACATTATTTAAAGTTTATTATTTTATTTTTTTAAAATATTTCATTAAATGTTTATTATTATTATTAATGTTATTATTAATGTAAATTATAGTTTATTAGATTTTAATATGTAATAATAAACATATATATATTATTTAGTTATATACATAATAAACAATATATGATAATTTTTATAGATACTGTTTTGCACCTATTGGTAAGTCTCTTGGTATAAAAAATACAAGAACAAAAAAAGCAACGCCAAATGAAATATTAGAAAAAGCCTATACTAGTAAAAAAATTAAACATAAACAGGTAAGTTTATATCAATTTATTTTCTAATATTTTATTATTATAATATAATATAATTTAATTGTTGGATTGATTTATTTTATTCATATAATTTATTATAAAATAATAATAAATATTTGGATTAGAGAATACTTTATGATTATCAATTTTATAAAGTTAATATATAATAAAATAATATTTGATAAAATGTATCATAAATTTTTAAAATAGATAATATTAAAATAATATTACTTTGAACTGCTATATATTTCAATATTAGACAACAATATTGTTATATTACATTCATTAAAGATTTGTTGAATTCTAAATAATGTGTTTAATATTAGGTTCTTGAAACAGATGTAATCTAAATCAAAGTAATTGCACTGAGCAATTAAATTATGGATAATATTATGGATTTTTTTATAATATATGGATATATTTTAAGATCCTGGCACTGGCTAAACAATTAGATTGGTCTGAACGACAAGTAGAAAGATGGTTGCGATTAAGACGTACTCAGGATAAGCCATCAACACTTACAAAATTTTGTGAAAACAGGTTAGTTTTATATTACAAGATATAAAATGCAATTTTTTATTTTCACTTACAAAAGAATAAAATAAAAATTTAAAAGAAATTTAAAAGAATAAAATGAAATAAGAATAAAAGAAAAATTTAATAAAATAAATCTTATATTAAAATTTATGACATTAATTTTTGATATTATACATAATTAATTTAATTAAATTTAATTAAATTAAATATCTATTTTTCTTTTACAGCTGGAGATGTTTATATTACACATATTCATTTATTTATGGACTCATTATTTTATGGGACAAGTTATGGCTGTGGGATATAAATTACTGTTATTACAATTATCCATATCATCCAGTTTCAGATGATGTATGGTGGTACTATATGATATCAATGGCATTTTATTGGTCTCTAAGTTTCTCTCAATTTTTTGATGTGAAAAGAAAAGATTTTTGGCAAATGTTTATTCATCATATAGCTACTATTATATTAATGTGTTTCTCATGGATTGGAAATTTAACTAGAATTGGTTCATTAGTATTATTAGTACATGATTGCGCAGATATTTTTTTAGAAGTAAATATAAACATCTATAATAATACTAATCATAGCAAGTTAATAATAATAATGTTAATATTAAAATTTTATATTTTTAGGCTGCAAAAATGGCTAAATATGCAAATTACCAAAAATTATGCGATTGTATATTTGTTATTTTTACAATATTATGGATTATTACACGTATAGGTCTTTTTCCATTTTGGATAATTTATAGGTATGTTATTCATATTGATTTTTAATTTTAATGCAATTGAAATTATATTATTTTATTAAATATATTATATAAAATATTACAGTACATCAATAAAGGCACCTCAAATAGTGCCTATGTTCCCAGCATATTATATTTTCAACTTCTTATTAATTTTATTATTACTTCTTCACATGATTTGGACTTATTTGATTCTTAAAATTGCATATAATGCTTTTTATGCTGGTCAAGTAAGCTGTATATATATATATATATATATTGCACATTTATTATATTATTATTTATTATTATTATAGTAAATATTATTATAGTAAATATAATTATGAAGTATTTAATTTTAAATTTAAATAAACAATTTTTCAGATGGAAGGTGATATTCGTAGTAGTAGCAGTGAGGATATTTCAGATACTTCCTTGGATAGTACTCCATTAAATAATTCTACAAATTATATTACCAAACAAAATTCCAGACAAAAAATTCACTAACAAATAACTTTCTAGAAAAAAGTTATTATAATGCAAAAGTTAGTAATAATGCAAGAATTCTATTTAGCCGGGAGTTAATTTATTTCAGCGAATTTAATAAATCCTTGCATTTATCATAGTATAATAATTAAAGATATTAATTTTGATAAAGAAATTAAAAAGGTCATTGACCTTTAAAACATTTACTTGCTTTATTATTTTTAAACGTAATTTAATATTCTTATACAACGTAAATAAGTCATAAAATTATTTCATATATCAGTCATTTATTATTTTTAATATCGTTACATATAGAAAAGTCAACATTAAGAACTATGATTTATTCTTTTTATTGTTAATCATTTATTTGTACATATTTTATTTAACAATTAAGAAAGTCATTTCTTTTGTTTTTTTTTATTTTTAAAGTAAATTTTTATTATTAGCCAAACAAATAATGGGCCAAAGTTTAAAAATATTTAATCTGCAATTTCTAAATCTTTTCAAAGTTTAGTGTTTCATTATATTTAAGAATGTTTATTTATTCTCATATACTTTATAAATGTCAAATAATATTTTAAAATTTTTGAATTAAGAAGATTAATAATAATATTTCTAATAAGTTTAACTTTTTTTATTTTATTAACCTTCCCCATTAAAATTTTTTGAGAATACCTAATTAATATAATAATTAATTAAATGATATTGTTATGATATTGTTTCTTGTATAAGAATAAATGTATTATTTTCTACTTTATTTTTAAAGATAATATATTAACATATAGACTATAAAATAAAAGTTATCAAAACACATATTAATAAAAATCTAGAACATGTATATAAATGTATTCATTTATTAAATAACAAACAAAATGAAAGATTTGTAAATAATTGCTTGTACCATTCAACTTTCATGTATAACTTGTATTGTTAAATTTTTAAACAAATTTATTTTTTTTTATATGAATTCAAATTTATACAATCTAATCTAATTTATAAATTCATATATATAAATTTGAATAATATTTTTTTTTAATGAATTATTATTAATGTAATTAATAATAATGATGATGATAACTAGGTTCATTTTGGAAAATTAATTTATAAATTAATTTGGATATATATATATATATATATATATTATAATTTGTAATTGTTTAAATGTAATTATTAATAATAATAATGATAATTAGGTTAAATTTTGTTTTTTTAATAATATAATAATTATATATAATTTATATATAATATAATATTTAATTATTTTTAATATTAATATAATATAATATTTATTTTTATATATTTAATTTATATATAATATAATAATAATATATAATTTTTATAAGAAATATCTTAATAATATAATTTTTTTTATGTTTTTTTTTTTATAATATATAATTTTTTTATAATATTTCAAATAGTAAATTCCGAAAATATAAGTTTTAACTCCAAAATTTACTTTATCAAAGTTTATGTTAAATTACATATTTTTAGGATTTTGATGCTATATTAATGTAGTTCATTGTATATCCATTCGATGAATCTATGACTGTTAATAAATGATATTGTCGGTATTAATTCTTTTATTATCTTTGTTACAAAAAAAATAAATATATATATAAAATACTTGTGTTGTTACTTGTATTCTTTTATTGAATTATTAAATTATTTCATTATATCATTTTTGTTAATTTTGATTGTATTATAGGAATTGGAAATTAGAATTAACTATTATTTCTAATACATGCACAATTATGATTATAATTAAGAAATATATATATATATAATTCGATTTATTTTTCATCGATAGCAAAATTCAGTTTTCTTTTAGTTGTCAAGAAAATATATATTTCTTCGTTAAATATCTTGGACTTTTTTGCAAAATTTATTAATTAAAAAATTAATAATTTATAAGTTAATTAAATTATAGATTATTATTTTATAATTATAGGTCAAATAAAATAATTATAATTTAATGAATCTCCATAAAACTAAAATATTTTTTTATATGACAACAATCATTTCGAACATTTTATAAATAAGACGACATCATTTTGAAATCTAATACATCAAAATATAAATCGAAAAAAATATCCGAATTATTGAATTTTCTCTCATTATGATTTTATATTCTATATTCTATATGATATTATAGATCGTTAGTTAATTAAAAATAGATGTTGATAAAAAAATTATAGAACAAAAAATTCTCTAAAAATTTATTAAAATACTTTTTTCGTTTCTACATATTATATATATATATATAAATTAGTATTTTGTTTATAACATTATATATAATAGAATTATTATTAGTTATAACATTATAATATTTATAACAAAAGAAATAAGTTAGAATATATTTACAATTGTTTTAAGATACATTAATAAAAATAAATATCATATTTTATAAAATTATAAAATTATAAAATTATAAAATTATATAAATTTATAAATAATTAAAACGAATTTAAAGATTATATCAATAAACGAAATTTTTTAAAAAAGTTTTTTAAAATGTATATTTATTTTGATATTATATATTTTTAAATATACATATAAAAGAAAAAGTTAAAAAAGTTTTATAAGCAAAATGTAAGAAAGTTTAAAAATATATAAAAATTTTTTAAATTTTTTACATAAACATTATCTTGTTAAAAAATAAATATATAAAGAAATAAATAAATAAATAAATAAGACAAAAAATCATTCAATAAATGTTATATAAAATCAATTTTTATATAATAATAGAAATAATTCTAATGAATTTTAATTATTTACTGCATCATTACATTTATATAAAATCTTACTTATCTTTTTACAAAAATAAAATTTTTATTTTCTTTTTTTGATTTAAAAATTAATATATATTTCTTCTATAAAAATCATAATTTTTATATATATATATATAAATAAGCATATTTCATATTTTAATAAATAATTTTAGTTCAATATTACGTTTCTTCATATAATGGAAATTAATACAAAATTTTTTAAAAAATAAAATTTTATTAAATAAATTATTAATTTTTTTTCTATATAAATTTAATATATAAATTTTAATATTAATAAGAATTTTAAACTATAATTTTAATAAAAAAAAATATTTAGAATATTGAAAATAAAAAGAAATGATGCTAGATTTTATTAGAATTTTATTTTATTATACGTCTGATATATATGTCTGATATATAATGTCTGATAAAAATTTAAAATTAGCGCCACTTATAATAATAAATTATTCGCCATATTTGATAAACTATTAAATTATAAAGTTTCCATTCTTAAAAAATTGTTTCATTGTAATAAAATTTTATTCTTTTCGGATGGCAATGATATTTAATCGACAAAATTATATAGAGGTCACCTTGAAGTTTTATTTGAATTTGAGTAACATACAAAGTATTTTAGATCTGTTATTATCTATTTGTTAGTGAATATATTAAAAAATTAAATATGGGAGGAAAATGGTCAACTATGGATCCTTCTGAAGTTCAAGTTCCAGAAATAAATATTTTATTGGAAAGAGATCCATATTTAAAACCTTATGAAAATGAGATTCGCAAGAGGTATTGCATTTTAAAAAATATATAAATATTAATATTAAATATGTTACATAGTAAAATATAATTAAGATAATTTTTATTTATAACAAGTTTATTTATAACAAGTTTTATTTAATGTATAATATAATTTATTATAAATGTCTATTTTTAAATCAAATACTTAATATAGAATAAGAATATAGAGTAAATATAAAATAAATTAATATTAATTTAGAACTTGTCATTTTTTTATTTTAATTTTTTTTAGGTATGCATTATTTAAAGACTATATAGAAAAATTAGAAACTGGTGATGGCAGTTTAGATAAATTTTCAAGAGGTTATGAAATTTATGGAATTCATATAAATGAAGACAATAGTGTTGTTGCAAAAGAATGGGCACCTAGTGCACAGGAATTATTTTTAACAGGAGATTTTAGTAAGTAGGTTAAAGCTATAGATTTCATATAAATAATCTCAATATAATGTCTGTTATTTCTATTTTATTTAATGCAATTGTTTATAAATAAATCTTAATAGTTATTTTTATATATATATATAACTATATTATATATATATAAAAACTTTTAAATTTATTTTGGAATCAAAAATTGATTTTTCAAAAGTATGCTATGAAAATTATATTAATTTATTATATTAATTATTATATTAATTCTATATCTCTCTTTGTATCTCCTTTTAATTTCAATTATTTTATCTTATTACATCATATTGATTACTTTTTCCAATATTTGATTATTCTCTTTTTTCTCAATTCTTTTCTTTATTTTTTTCTTAATTTTGTTCCTTTCTTAATTTTTAAGATTTTTTTGATTAAAACTTTTTTTTGATATATATTTTTTATTTTTTATTATATCATATTATATATATATTTCTTTTTTTAATTCTATCATTCTTCTTATATAAAACTATTTTTATTTGAATATTTGTCTGTATTTTTGCTATCTTTTTTTTCAAATATTTTTTATTTGCATGCTTTAAATTTTTTATTGATTTCTTATTTTTTGTTCCAATTTTATTGTTAATTTTTTTGTTTTTATCTCATCTAATGCTAAATTTAATCTAATATTAATCTAATACTAATTAAAATTTTTTTTAGTTTTCTTTCTCTCTTTTAATAACACTTTTTTGTTTTTACTTTTATTATTAATCCAATATTCTATATAATTTTTTCATTTAGCTCTCATTCTATAGTTATATTTTGTATTTTTCTAATTTTTTAACTTTTTCCTCTTATGTTGTTCTATATATACATATATATATACTATATATAATCAATATATAACATATTATAGTTTTATATGTATACATATATTTCTAATGGATAATCTTAAGAATTAACTTTTTTTATTTATAACTTTGAGAGAAAGTATAGTAAAGTAATAAAAATATTTGGATTATATTTGGATATTTGGATATTTGAATAAATTAATCTATTTTTATTTACAAACAGAACAAGAAATTTTTTTTTAATTTCATGCATCACAATATTGTAAGAATAAAAATATAATTTATTTTATTAATGTATATCCATTATAATATTTGTATAAATATTAAATTTATGTTATAAAAGTATTCTGATTCTTACATTCTTAAAATTATATTTCTTATAAAATCCATATTTCAGTATGTGATGTTTATATTTATGTATATAAATATTTATAAATTTATAATTATAACAAGTATTTCATATAATGCAATAATTATTTTTCATTATAAAAGAGAAAAATCATATTTTAAAATTGATTTGTACAAGAATGTTATGGATATTATAAGAAAGTTTAAATATAACTTTATTTTATAATTATTATATATTATAATAAAATTAAATTAATTTTATACTAATTTTACAATATAATATTACAAAAAATATTACAAATATTATAGCAAGAAGATAAGATATGAAAAATACAGAAAAATTTTAAGTATAATAAATAATATTTTTTTCAGATATAAAAATATTTTTAACAAAAATCTTCTATATTATATATAATATATATATTTAATAATAAAAAATAAAATAAAAATTTGAAATAAACAATTTTTTCACATAAAATATCATTTATATTTTCCCATAATATAATAAGCTATAATTTAATGTTTTCAATTATAGCTTAAAATTTGTTAATCTGAAAAAAATTTTCAGAATAATAATATTAATATATTATAAAAATAATTGCTTTAAATAGAAAAATTTCTACTAATTATTTCCTCATGAATTACAATAAATTTGAAATATAAATCATAATTTATATCGAATTTAGATATTTTTACAAAAATCATTGTAAATTTGTTAATATTTATTTGTAAAAAGTTTGGACATTTCATAGATCTCTCAGATTTGAAAAAATAAATGAAATGTCTATAAATAATAAAAAAGTAATTCTATTTTCAAATATATATATACTTATATAAATTTAGAAATAATAATATTCTAATGATATAATTATATTTATAGAATAACAGATTTATATAGATAATAGACAAATTTATATAATTGGTCTTCAACATCATAAAATCATATAATATGAAATTTTCTAATTTTAAATTATTTTAAAACTATATCTCATTTTTTTCCAATTTTTTGTAAATTCTAATACATCTTTGTATTTTATAATTTTTATAATGATAGCAAGTTCTTATAAATTGATGTTTATAATGATAATTGAATTCTTATAATAGATTAATAATATAGTAATCAATATTTCTTTTTTAATATCTAATATTGTTTTTATATCCTTTGCTTGTAAAGTTGCATTCTTATTATATATATATATATATATGAAATCTTATATGTAACGTTTTTGTGATTTTTTAAATACAAGACAAGATTTTAAACAATTTTTTCTTATATAGTCATCTTATATCAATCGTTCTTAGTTTTCAAAATATATATAAAAAATAATGTAACTATCACATTGAATTTCGTCTATACATTTATGTCCATGGCAGCGTATTTATATCACATGTAATTACTGCTTATTATATCATTATAGTGATTGATATTCAAAATATGCTTCTCATTTGATTGTTATCATTTTGATTACTGTAATTTCAATTGTTCAAAAATTTATATTTGAAAAATTTGCAGTAATAAAAATTTTTTATTATTTTATTCATTATACATTTTTTATTATATATCTCATTTCATAAAAAAAAAGTGATTTTTCATATTCATAAGATTTATAAGTTCTAAGTAATGAATATATTAATTTTTACCATTTTTACCAATTTTTACCATATATAATGCAAATTTGAAACAACCTTTTTAAACAAAAATTCTATCAATAAAAAATAATAAAATAAAAGAAAAATATTTAATTACAAAGTATAAATTATTCCATTATTTGATTTAGAAAGGAATGATTTTACTGAGCAAGAATGCAACTTTACAAGCAAAGGATATAAAAACAATATTAGATATTAAAAAAGAAATATTGATTACTATATTATTAATCTATTATAAGAATTCAATTATCATTATAAGCATCAATTTATAAGAACTCGCTATCATTATAAAAATTATAAAATATAAAGATGTATTAGAATATATATATATATATAAACAGATGGTGAATTTATAGATTGGTTTCTTATTTTGATAATTTTTAAATACTTATATTATATTATATAAATTATAAAAATCAATATTTTGAACAATTTTTTTTTTCATAAAAACTCTCTTTTCGATATATTTGTAAAAAAAAATATTGTTATTACTATAGTGAATTCTGCTTACATATGCGTTCATGATAGATATGCATGTGATTGCTATTTATCAATTGTTCATATTTTATATGAACATATCATAGCAATCAACATGTATAATCGTACAAATATCATTCATTATTTATCTGTAGCGAGTTTGGATAAATCCTTCAGAACTAAACAAACAAAAACATGTCACTTTACTAAAATTATACAAGTACAAATGTATAACTATATAAAATATTAAATAAATAAAGCATGAATAATTAAAATATCAACAAGAAGTGGATTATTACTACAATTCCATCTATTTATTAACAGTTCGTGATATATCAAAGTATCATGGAAATAATATGATGGTACACAATGAAATATAAAACATACAATAAAAAATATTTAATTCGAGATTGAAGAATTTAACAAAAATGAGTCCAATTTTAATCATAAGATCCATTGCAATTTTATGATTTGATTATAGAATAGAATAATATTAAGATTATTGCTATTTTTTTTATAAATAATAGATAATATTACAGATTTAGTCAAAAAAAATAATATTTAAAGAATGCGTAATAGTATACAATAAATATTTTGTTGTTGTTGTAAAAAAGTTTATTGAAGAAAAATTAAACATTTTATGATATTTTTTATTCTTCTGAAAAAAAATAAAAATTGACTAAAATTTTAAATTTTTCTTTAATCTAATTATCAGACTGAAATGCAATAGAGAATTTATAAAATAAATTATATTGCAGAATTGAATTTTATTTATATTTAAAATTCTAAAAGAAATTATAAAAAAATAATAATATAAAAGTAAAAATATTAAAAAAAAAATCTGTAGTATGTCTAAATAATATATTGTAAGATTAAGAACTATCTTATAAAATATTAAATTTTTACTATGAAATTAAAAAAATATATAAAATATAAATGTTCTATTTTATTATAGAGAATATTTTTTAACATATTTATTATAACATATTATTATATAATTAAAATAAAATGTTTCATCTTTTATGATACAAATAATATTTTGTATACAATTTTAATGATATAAGAAAGAATACGTTGCAAAAAATATTTTTATATCAAAATTACTTTATTCTTTCGTTAAAATAATTTTCAAAGTTACGAATTTTTTTTTAATATAAATATATATGTATATGAATATGTATATAAATATATATAAATATATATAAATATATATTTTTTTTAATTTGAATATAATAATTAATATTTAAATGCATTTAAAGATATGTAATAATATAACTTTATGTGATTTTTAATTTTTAAAATAAAATTTATTTTCATCAAAATTACAATTGCTGTACATAAATACTTGTCATAGAAAGTATATTAATTCAAAAAATATAAAGCTGATTATTTTATATATTTTGAAATATTGTAAAGAGATCTTGATTTAATTTTATATATATTATAATATATTATAATATATTATAATAATTCCATATTGAAGTTAAATGTATGAGTATTTTTTCGGTCATTCTAAAAGAAAATTTTAAATAATATAAAGCATAAACTTAATAAAATTTATTAAATAAAATATTATATAAAATATGATATTTGCAATTATTTATAATTTTTTGAAATTTTTTTATATATTTTATATTAATTTATTAATTATTTTGATTAATTTCAAATCATTGATAATGTCTTTTGAAAGCAATCTATTACGTTTCAATATTTTGCTAAATTTTTATTTAAATTATTTATTCAAATTTTTATTTGAGTTAGATAAGATTGATGTTGGTATATATAACAATAAATTAATTATTATTAATTATTTATTTTTCTCTAAAAAATTTCTTAATAATTTTATATATATATTTAAGATCAATAATTTAATGCAATATAATGTTCAAATATTTGTTTTTTAAATTGATTTTTATTAAATTCTATAAAATATTAATATAATTAGTAATTAATTTTATAATAATAATATAATAATATAAAGTAATAAATTCTAAAGTAACAAATTCTCTCAATGTATTTTAATTATACATATTTTAATTATATTCTCTCAATGTAATTATAATTATAAATTGCATACATGAATGACAAGTAACAATATGTCAACATCAAAATCTTTGTAATTCTGATGAAATAATTCTGATGAAATTTAACGCTTGAAATAATTATAAAGATTTAAAAATTTTTGTTTATTTTTATTTATATAAATTATCTTTTTTTTTTGAATAAAGTTTAAAATTTAATTCATCATTAAATAAAAAAAAATTAAATTTTTTAAAAGTTTTTTTTTATTTACAAATTATTTATCAAATTATTTATTTATTTATTAAATGTTTGTAAATATTACATTTACTAATGAAGAATATCTTTCTTGATAGTTATGAAATCTTGCTTCTTTTATTTAGAAATTTATTTATTTTTTTTTAATTTTAATTATAAAATTATATTTTTTGAAAAAAATATGATAATCTTAATTCCTTTTATAAAACAAAGTAATTTTTAGTATTTCTTTTTGTATCATACAATCTTGTCATTCTGTAAGTATTCAGGAGCATTTTGATTTTAAAAGATTTTTTGTAAATTCTTTGTTTTTTATATATTTTTTATAATAATTTTCTAAGATATTTTACAAAAATTAAAATATGTTGCAATTTTTTTAACATATCAGTTTCCATTCAAATATTCGTTATATTAGCATGAAATGTGATATTTTATCAAGAAAAAATTAATCATATTTTGATCTCTTCGTTAAAATATTTATTTTATAAACAATATTTGAGATGGTCAAATTCCAAATCGTTTAAATCATTATTCACACTATATTATATACTTACTACTATTATAATTTAAGAGTATATAAATGTGATTTATTATAACTTCTTTTTGTAAAGTTTAATTTAAAGAATATACGAAAAAATTATGTTCTAATCACTTACATATATTTATATAAAAAATAATATTCATAAAACTATTTTTTAAAAAAATATTATAAATGTAAACAAAATTAATAATAGTATTTTTTATTGAAATTATTCAAGGTTACTAGCACAGTTTATTGTAAGCGAATAAGATAAAAGAAAGTAGTAGTAAAATTTATCGAATTCGTAAACATAATTTGATGAAAGAATATATAGGAAAGATAGTTTTGAAAGAAATATTTAATACGTATTATTTTTATTGGCTAACATTCATTTTGAAGAGATAAGCTTCGAAGTTAAGGATTGAAAATATATTTTTTAGAATTTCTTATGAATTATATGGTAAAATTTTTTTTTGATTATATATATTTTCGAGTGAAAAATTTAGAAAAAAAAATTTTATTATAAAAAATTTTAGAAAAATTAATTTTTTCATTTAGTATTCGTGATATTTATATATATGAATAAATAAATAATAATATAGATCAAAATAGAAGATATATGCTTTTGGAATATTTTTTATTTTATTATGTATTTTATCAGAATTCTATGAGATTTTCAATTGAATGATTATAATGAGAAATTTATATAAACATATAAAAACATAAGAATTTTATAATTACAAATATAGATTTAAAATTTAAATAATACCGATATAACAATTGAATATTATAAATTTATAATATTCAATTTATTATAATATTTATATGCTATAAACATTTATATATAAATATAAATATATATACATAAATATTATTCAAACAAAATCTTATTTTTTTTACAAAATTCATTTAAACATATGAAAAAAAAAGTTTTAAATTTCCAATTATTTTGAAATTATGAATTTAATATTTTATATATCATTATTTTAATTTGCATTTCATTATTTTTAATTAATACAAAAATTTTATTCAGCATTGAATCTAAAAAATTGTTTATTGTAATAATAGAAATTCTTAGTAGTGTTAATTTTTTGTTTTTGATTTATTCATGAATTGGCAGTCATTAGTATATATTTCTTTGCTTGATAAGATGAAAAATTAAATCATTATTAGGCTTTCATTATAGAAATTTCTGCTCAATTTGAAATCATTTTTATTGCATTGAACATTAGGTCTAAAATTAAATTTTTTTTTTTTATCTAAGAATATTTTTTATTAATTTTTTATTTATTTTTTGATTAATTTAGTGCATGTAATTTTAATTGAGCAATTAATACTTTCAACATTAATTTTTTTTATAACATTTTCTAAATCATGTTAGAAATATTGTGTAAAATTTATTGCGCATCGATTATTGATAATTATTGATAATTGTAATTTCACTATAATTTATCTTGTAGATAATCGATTTTTTGTTGTTTAAGTTTTATTTTTTTCTTATCTTATTATTATTTTCGAATTTGGTTTTTCCCATAATTTTTATTAAATCTTACATTAAACAATGTATTAGAAAAATATATAAAAGTGAATTTTAATTAATAAACTTATTTTTTATGATAATTATAAAAAATCTAAATTAATTATATGTTATAATAATTTTTTGATATTTAATATATGATTTAATATGATATTTATAAAAAAATATAATATAATTTTTTTTTGGTTTTATTTTTAAAAAACTCGAATATAAAAATCGATTAAATATGAAAATAATAAACGATTATATATTATTTGTTTTTCACAATTCATTATTAATTATTTTTATTTGATTAATTTTTAAAAATAATGATTATTATGTGACATTTTTTTATAGATTATTTATTTTTTCACATTATAAATATTAATTAAGACTATCATTATTACATATATAATTCACATTCTATTGCATATATAATTCTTTTTGACGAATTAAACATAATTGAACGAATTTTGCTTTCACTTCAAATATCTATTTTGAATAGTAAAAAATTCTCAAAAAATATGAAAGATATAAAAGCAATAATAGTTCATTTATTCATCTTTAATTTATCATAAAGAAATATCTATACAATATACTTTCGCCGATATATTTTCAACAATATTTTTAATATAATGAAAACAATGAAAAATGAATAATTTACATGAATATTTTCTATTGTTCCAGTTATACAATTGTTTATAACATTAGTTCTAATAAAGAGCTAATCGATATGAAGTTGTTTTTTCTCATTTGCATATTTGATCAATTTATAAGATTGATTTTAAAAAACGAAATTTTAGATAAAAAATGTTATGTTAAAATTTGTTTTTTATTTTTTCAAGAAAAACGCTTTATCTATTGTGCTACAATTATTATTTTATTTTACAATATTTCTAAGTATTTTTAAATTAATTTTAAATTAATAAATCAATAAAAGAAAAAGAAAATATAATTTTTTAAGATAAACTCTTTTAAGATAAACTTTATAATCAAATTTCTTATCAAAATCACTATGAATTTCGTATATACATATATATTATTATATTTTATTCGTATATATTTATATATTATTATTTATACAAATACAAATTATATTATTTACGTAATTCAAAATATAAAAAATTATTATTTATATGAATATTAAAAATTATTTTATTTTTTTTATATATATGTTATTTTTTTAATACTATTTTTAAAATTATATTTAAAATTATTTTAAATTATATAAATAATTCATTTAAGGACTTTAAAATAAACTTTTTTTTTGTTTTACTTTTATTATTAATCTTAAAGTATATTATAATTTTAATATATATTAATTATAAATATATAATTATTTATAATTATAAAATAGAATATAAAACAGAATTTTAAATATAGTTTGCATTTATATTATATATAGTATTATATATTTTATTTCATTTTATATTTAATGTAATAACTTGTCTAGTTTCTTTTTTAATAACTTAGTAAAATTTTAAAATTTCTTTTTTAAAAATTCAGTATAATTTTTATATAATAAATTATTATTCTTTATTGTCATTATTATTATTATGTAGTATAAAAAAGTATTATATATATAATAATAATAATATATAATATATATATAATATATAATATATATAATATATATATATATTCTTTATAAAAGTTTCTAAATTATAAATTTTAATTGTTGTTTATTTTTGTTACTAGATGGTTGGAATAGGACAATTAATTCATATAAAAAATTAGATTATGGAAAATGGGAATTACATTTACCTCCTAATGCTGATGGTAGTTGTCCAATAAAGCATCTTTCAGAAATTAAAATAATTGTAAAAGACCAAAATAATGAATTATTGGAACGATTAAGTCCTTGGGCTACATATGTCACACAAGATAAATCTGAAAGTGCTACATATAAACAACGTATATGGTATCCATTACCTGAAAATGTATATATATATAAATATGTATAATTACTTCATATAATTATAAATAAATACAAATATTACTTTTTTTCAATCAATTTAATTTTATTTATAAATATTAAAATTTATGTTATAAATATATTATATATATTTTCATTCAGGTTTATAAATTTAAATATTCCAAACAGAAGAAACCAAAAAGTCTTAGAATTTATGAATGTCATGTTGGTATTGCAACTCAGGAATTAAAAATTGGTACATACCTAGAATTTGCTAAAAACATAATACCTCGTATTGTAAAACAAGGCTATAATGCTATACAATTAATGGCTATTATGGAACATGCTTATTATGCTAGTTTTGGATATCAGGTGCGTACTTATAATGAATAAATTTAAAAAATCTATTAATAAAATTAATATACTTGAGTATTAAATTTTATAACAATATATTTAATTAAATTTAATAAGGTAACTTCATTTTATGCTGCTTCATCTCGTTATGGTACACCAGAAGAGTTAAAACAATTGATAGATACAGCGCATCAATATGGTTTATATGTTTTATTAGATGTGGTACATTCACATGCATCAAAGAATACTTTAGATGGTTTAAATATGTTTGATGGTACTGATGGTTGTTTTTTCCATTCTGGCAATCGTGGTCATCATCCACTGTGGGATAGTAGACTTTTTAATTATGGAGAATATGAAGTATTACGATTTTTACTTTCCAATTTGCGTTGGTACATTGAGGAATATAATTTTGATGGATTTAGGTATTTATTTGATGAATATTATTTGTAATATATGATATTTATATTTTTTAATTATTATATGTATATTGTTTATCTCTGTCTCTCTTTCTTTCTTTCCTATTATTATTCATTTAATTTTTTTCTATATATATATACTATAAGTAATATATTCTTTTATAGATTTGATGGAGTTACATCAATGTTGTATCATTCAAGAGGATTTGGACAAGGTTTTACTGGTCATTATGAAGAATATTATGGACTTAATGTTGATGTTGAAGGTGTAGTTTATTTAATGCTTGCAAACTATATTTTACATTATTTATATCCAAATATGATTACCATAGCAGAGGATGTTAGTGGAATGCCTGGAGTTTGCAGGTATGAAACATAAAAATTACAAAATTACAAAATTTAGATTTTTAAAAATTTATGTCACATAATAATAATTATTTTATATTTAATGGAATATTATTTATTTATTCGAACATGCACAAAATATACATAAACAATATGTGCACATATATATTTTTATTTAATATAAAATAACTATTATTATATAATATTTATATAAAATTATATATATATAAATATATAAATTATTATATATAAATATATAAATTATATAATATTATATAATATAAATATATAATAATATTATATATTATTATATAATTAATTATTTTGTTTTTTTTAAAATATTATATATTATGTGTGTATATTATATTTACGTTATATTTTGCTTTTTATATATATTATATATTTATAATATTAAAGGCCAATTACTGAAGGTGGTTTAGGTTTTGATTATCGATTAGCCATGGCTATTCCTGATAAATGGATTAAACTTTTAAAAGAAATAAAAGATGAAGATTGGAATGTTGGAGATATTTGTTGGACATTAACTAATCGAAGATGGATGGAGAAAACAGTAGCTTATTCAGAATCTCATGACCAAGCTCTTGTAGGTGATAAAACAATTGCATTTTGGCTTATGGATAAAGAAATGTATTTTCATATGAGTACATTAAGTTCACCTAATGTAATTATAAATCGTGGAATTGCTCTTCATAATCTGATTACATTAATCACACATGCATTAGGAGGTGAAGCTTATTTAAATTTTATGGGTTAGTTTTATCTATAAAACTACATAGAAATATTCAATAAAAATTAATATTTGCTCGGTTAAATTCATATAATTCATTTTTGCTGTCAGTGCTTCAAGTTTCAGTGCCTTGTTTCATATATAAGAAAATAAATTTAAGATCTCTCTTTAAAGAAATGCCACAAAAAAAAAAAATAATCATACAATATAAAAAATTCCGTTTTTGTAATTTTTTTTTAATGAAAATAATGAAATATGAATTTCATGAAATTATTGATTTAATTTTTTCCAATTAAAATCAATGTAAATCAAATGTGAATCAAATATAAATTTGATTAATTTTATTCATAATCAAGTTACTATATAGATAATAATTTTCAATATTATTTATCAATTAATAAAAATGTTGATTTATTTATTTTAATTGTAAGAATTTCAACAATTTGATAATATCATTTAAAAAAAAATTACAGAAAAAAAATTTCTTTTATCAAATAAATTATTAATTCCTCCAGTTCTTCTAATTCCTTAAAGAAGAAATAAATTCTGCTTATAAAAATTTAATTATTAGAATCGAACTTAATTGATTTTAACTGAGCACTACTATACATTTTATTATTGAAGTTTTTAATAATTTTATTATAAATTTAAAAAAAATATATGAAGGTAATGAATTTGGTCATCCTGAATGGTTGGATTTTCCACGAGCTGGTAATGCAGATAGTTATCATTATGCTAGAAGACAATGGAATTTAGTAGATGATGAATTACTTAAGTACAAATTTATGAATAATTGGGATCGGGCTGTAAATACTCTTGAAGCAAAATATGGATGGCTACATGCTGAACCTGTAAAATAAATAATCTATTTTAATTAAAAATATTCATATATATATTATAATTTCACTACATATTTATGATATCATTAATAAAAATATGTGTTTTTAGGGATATATAAGTTTGAAACATGAAGAGGATAAAATAATTGTTTTTGATCGTGCAGAACTTATATTTGTTTTTAATTTTCATCCAATCAAATCATTTCCTGATTATACTATTGGTATAAAAACTGCAGGAACTTATAAAATTCTTTTGTGTAGTGATGATAAAAATTTTGGTGGAGAAAACCGTGTTAATACTAATATACAACATTTTACGAAACCAGAATCTTTTTCTGATTATTCAAATAGTATGATGATTTATATTCCTTGTCGCACAGCTATTATTTATATTCGAGAGGTAATGTATTATGTATTATCATATTATGTAATATCATATATTAATATTTAAGGATCTAAAAAAAACGATTATATCAGTGACGATTTTTAAAATAGTTTTAAAAAATTGAAAAAAATTATAACAAATCAAAATAATTGTAAAAAAAAGTCCTGATTTAGATTAGTTTTAATTTTAGAACCGATATATCGCTTGTATATCGATTTTGCATTAGGTAATCAAATATAATTAATTAATTCTTGATACTATAATTGATATATTATTATTGTGAATAATCATATGTTTATGAAATGCTTTTCATATTCTATATTCTTTTTATATAATTTATAATTTATTATAATTTATTTAAACATAATTAATTTTCCTATTATATTCTATTATATTCGTATTTATTAATTTTATAATAATTATGATTATATTTTTTTAATAAATATAATAAAAAAATTAATTAGCATTTTTTAAAATATGTTTCAGAATGAATAAAAAATTATTTCATTAAAATTTAATTAAAAAAAAATTACATTATAATATAAAGATATAATTAAATCATATAATAAGATAATAAAAAAGTTAATATATTTGTAGATGGAAAAATAACGATCTTAATTTATTTTTATCTTAATCTAATACAAACTTCAATTGTTTATAACTTAATAAATAAATCTCAATCGAAATTTATGTATATTTTCAGATAAAATGATAATATATTCTATGAAGAGTGCAATTTACCAAAATTTTAAATATATCTATTTTAATAATATAAAAGAAAATCAAATAGTTAATTTCATTTATAAATTTATAAAATCGTTTATGTAAAAATGGATGAGATAAAATGATAACATAGCAAATGATAGCGAAAAAATAGATTAACAAATTTTTTTATTTGAAAATAAAAAGATTTTTGATATTTTTACATATTGAATCTGAATTTGATCACAAAAATTACTTATCACTTTAGATTTAGCAGATAAAATATCAATATATATATATAGTTTTGGTATGAAACTTTGTCAAAAAAAATTTTTTTTTTTTTTTGGCAATAATATTTTTATATAATACTCTTTTCTGTAAAATCGAATTTGACTTATCATTATAAAATTTTTTTTTCTTGATATATATTTTAAAGTTATTCTATTTTTAATCTATTGACAATAAGGAGACTTACTTTAAAGATTCTGATTTATTTTTTTTCAAGTGACTAATAAAATGAAAATTTTCTTTTAATTTAAATTTTCTTTTTTTTGGTTTCAGATTCGGTATGTAAAAATATATCAAAAATTTTTTTCTTTCAAATGCAAAAAACTCAATCTGTTTTTCAAATATATGCTATTATTTTGTCTCATTTATTTTTCACAGAAACGGGTAAAATTTATAAAAGAAAATATTAATTGTATTTGACTTTTCATTATTATATATATATAAGAAAGGAATACTTCATATGAGTATATATTTACAATTTAGATAAATCAATATTGAAAAACATTGAAATCATATCTTTTTGCTTGGTAATATACTAATTTTGGCTTCTAAAATTGAAAGTATTTCATGAATATATTAACATTTTATATATATAGTAGAATTTGACAAAATTTTATTCCGATAACGAATAAGAAATAAAAATAAAGAATAAAATTTTATTCATCATTATTTATCTATATTATTACTTTTAAATTATTAAAGTATTCAATTGAATAAGTATTTATTCACATAATTTATTTGAACAGGAATAGATTTATTTTATAGATTATAATGTACAAAAAAATATTGAAATAGTATTATCATTAAATAGTGCCGCCTTATTTAAAATCACGCCATATAATGTAAATTCATGTCACTTTAGATTTAGCAGATAAAATATCAATATATATATATTTTTGGTATGAAACTTTGCCAAAAAAAATTTTTTTTTTTTTGACAATAATATTTTTATATAATACTCTTTTCTGTAAAATCGAATTTGACTTATCATTATAAAATTTTTTTTTTCGATGTCGAATGTTTTCTCGAATGTTACCACAATGTACATATAATATCGACTTTTCATATAATTATATAATCATTATTTTAAATAATTATAATAATACTTAATTTTAATATATATGATTGATACAATTGTTTCTCATAACTTTATTATCAATGTAGTTACAAAAAAATATCAAAGAAGAAAGATGAATAATGTATTCTTTAAAAATGAAAATGTATATATCAATAATTGTATTATTTTTTAAATGAAAATGCATATATTTTTGCATAAATCAATTTCTTTTATCGTTCTAAAGAAATATTGAAGTATAATGATAAAAAAATTATTAGTTTTTGAGATATTTTAATTAAATTTAAATTAAATATTGTAAAATTTATAAATGGCAAGAAAAGTATAGTATTCCTTGTTTTTTAGATAATAAATTTTATCAAAATATTTCCTAAATTATTTATTATATATATCTCTTAAATATTTTGTTATGTTATATAATATTGTGATGTTATTTTATATTATTTTATTTTATATGTTATTTTATATTATATTATTTTATATAGAATGATAAAAAAGATATTTATAAAAAAATATATAATCTCATGAAATGTTTTTTAAATTATATATTTTTTTTCTTTGATATTTTTTTGTATTAGTAACAGAGTTATAATCTGAAATATATATATAAAATATCTTATATTTTTAATTTGAAAAGTATTTTTATTTGATTATTTTTTTTCTTTATCACTAAGTTTTTTTTCTGAAATCATTGTTTTCTAAATTTAATTCTATGTAAGAAAAAAAAAAATAAAAAACAAAATTTACAAATCAAGTATTGTATCGATATAAAAGCGACATAACTATGTTATAACTATATTATAACCATGTTATTTATATAAATTATAGATAAAAATATATTATTATATATAAAACTGAAATCGAAATCAAATGTTAAATTAAAATCTTTTTTTTTCATAAGTGTTTTACAACTATTTTGATTTGAAATAGTTATTTTATATTATTTTATATAATTTAAATAATTATAATAATTTTTTAATTTTAGGAACTTTAACATTTTTAAAAGGCATAGAGAGAAGAATAACTTTAAAGTCACATAAAAATAAAAGTACTACCTATTTTACCAAAGTGTTAAATTTTAAGTAGATAAAAATCAAGAAAAATAAATATAATATACAGTTTTATTCCGAAATAAGCAATTCTTTTGAGATTACTCAATTTTGACTTAATATCGCTTTCTTCATTCAATAAATGAAACAAAAAACTCGAAATTGTGGCAAATCATAAAATAATAAAACATAGTACAGTTATTCTTCGGAAAAGAATAGAATATATGACATACACTCTTGCTCTGTCATTGAATGAACATAAATGTTTATAATTTTTTGCTTTCACAAATTAGTTTTCACATTAGTTCTTGATTTAAAATAAAAGAAGAGGAGATAGCAAATTTAGTAATTTATAGCAAAAAATAGTTGCTTATTTCAGATCAGATGTATTATATATATATATTTATATTTATGTTATATTATATTATATAAATAATATATATAATATATATATATATATATATTATAGTTTAGACAAATTAATTGATATAAAAGACTTAAAAAGTACAAATCAAAATACTCATGTATATAATTTTTAAAAATTATAAATCAGAGTTTTATGAAATTAAAAATTTTTATTTAAAAATAACATATTCAGGAGATATTATATATATTTATTGAATGAATTTATAATTATAATTATGTTTAACTTAATTAAAAATATTTTATATTTTGATATTGAGCTTTAATATCTATAAATATTTATATAAATAAAGGAATGTGTTTCTAATAATTTGTGTATTAATTAATCACATAATATAATTAATGAAATATTGACATATAAAATTTATTTTTATTTCAAAAAAATAAAATAGACATAATATTTAGATTTTAAAGTAGAATTTATTAAGTATAAGTAGAATTAGAAATATATTGTAAAGCACAAATTAATATTACATAAATTTCTTTAAAAAGGATAATTTATATAATACAACTTAAAAATTATGATAATTTTCTTTAATAAAAAAATTTTGTATATATCTTATATAGTGTTTATGAATATATTTTTATATTTATAAATATTTTTATAATCATTCATGTAACACAAAACGAATTCTTTTTATTATATGAAAATTTATAGTAATCATAAAATGACTTACAAATTTATATTAAACTTATATTGTGAAATTATTTAGAAATGCTTAGGTTACATTTATTTATTATTAATATATAACGTATATATTTAGTTTTTTATAAGTTGTTTTTTTTATTATTAGATAATTTATATAAATAATAAAAATATATTTAAATATTATAATTTATTACTGAAGCTATATACATATTTTTACAATGATATGAATTTTTCATTGCTATTGCATAATTACGATTTTTCCATTATTGCATTAATCTTTTATTTTTATTAAACTGTTTAATTTATATTATATTATATTGACATATTAAATAAAATAATATATACAAATTTTCATTATGTGAATATATTTGTTATCTGCACTATATGATATTATATAAAAACATAATAATATATGAATAATATCTATAATTATTTAAAAGATTAATTTGTTTTAAATTATTTATTTTATTTATTATTTATTTACATTACTAAATTCTGCTTCATTTACATCATAATCCATCATTTTATTTTCTAAGATCCACCATTTATCTAAAAGTCCAAAATCTATCACTCTTTTATGAAATGTTAGATATTGTATTTTTAAGTAAGGACAAACAGTTTTATATAAAGAACACATATTATCATAGTCATCTAACCAAATTAGAGAAATTATACCTAAATTCATCCGTCGTACAATGCCTTCATTATAACATTGACCTAACCATTTTACATAATGTTCAGAAATTGGATTACGTATAGCTTCTCCTACTTGCATTATTTTCATGGTATTTTGTAATAAATTTTCTTTAAAGGTACATTCATCTGGATTATGTCTATATAAGTACACACAGGATGCTAGAACTAATTAAAAATAAAATTTTGCTATATTAAAAATATTTTATAAGAATTAATATAATTTTTTTCTAATCATTTATGTTATATTTTAAATTTTTACGATTTTTTAAAATAAAAAAATAAATTTTTTCAATTGATTTTTTAAATTTCTTTTTATTAAAACATAAATGAACTTACGAGAAAAATATATAGATGTTCTTATAGGATGTTCCTTACAATCTTTAGTAGCACCTAATGCTGATTCTTTGTAATCTATATAAAGATTCTTCCAATATAATCCTATAAATAAAGATATATTAAATTAAATTAAATTTTTTTTAATATTACTTGATTTTAGTTTTAATATTGATTTCTTTTTTATTACTATGTGACATTTAGTTACCCCATCGTTCAAGAAATGTTCCTTTGAGTTTTTCTGGTATTTTAAGATTTTTTGTCTTATTTAAAACATTATAAATAGGATTTATTAATTTTAAAGTAAATTTGTATTTTTGAAATTGAGTAAAGTAATTATAATTCATATTCATTGAATTTATAATAATAATCTTGAAATAATTATTATTTAAAACATTTTTCAAGTTATAACAGATATTAAAACAGATACAAGACAAACTTTATACTGAACGAAAATATTAAAATTGAGGTTATCCACGTGTCTGAAAGAAATATATATGAAATATGATGAAATGATTATATATAAAAAATATTTATATATGATTACTTATATTTTAAAAAATAACGTTTACAAATGTCTTAATATATTCTTTCTATATATAATGTACTAAATTATACATTATTGCAACAGTAATTTAATTTAAATATTATGATTTAAAAAAAACTTTAAATTGTTTGAAGTAAATAATTATGATATAAGAATGTATAAAAATATTATATCAAAATATCAAATTAGAAGTTTAAAATTTAAAAATTTATTTACAAAATGCTGTAAATAAAAAATTCATAGAACAATAATATTTGATTTAATAATTTTCAATTCAAAAATCAAATTTTGAATAATGTCATTATTCTAATAAGTACATAAATGAAAATTATTTATATTTTTAAAATAAAAGTAGATATTAAACATTATGATGTGAATATGAAAATAATAAAAAATATAAAATTGAAATTATTGAATTGAATTATTAGAATTGAAGAAACTTTATTGATTTTTATCATTACCTTAGTTGATTGTATCATTTTTAGATTTTTAATATCTTATTTTTCTAACCTTTAATAAATTTTCAACGAATTTTCTATATCTTTCTTTATTTTATATTTAAATTTTTAAATGCATATAAATTGGAATATATTATTTTTTGTTTAATTTTGTGTTTAATTTTGCTATATTAATTATAATAAAATCAGACATTTAAATTTTTATTATGTGAAGTAACACGTAAGATGTGAGAGAACAATATGAAATCTGTCACTACTTATATGCATATAAATTATTGTACATTATTGTAAATTATTGAAGTACATATATATATGTCTTCTAATTTTAAAGACGATGAAATATAAAATAGTATCAAATTTATGTGATATTTATGATAATATTTATATTTAATGATAATTTATATATATTAGAATTGAATAATATATGAAAAATTTAATATTTAATAATTAAATACAAGAATAAAGTTTACAATTTTTTATATTAAAATAATAATTTCATATAAATAATTATAATTTTTTAAAATTGGCGTTTCTTTTTCTCAATTCAGGTATAAAAATTTAATATTACTTTAGTTTAATTTAAAATTTTTAATTGTTAAAAGATTATTTTTAAATATTAATGATTTTATATAAAGAATTAAAGAAATAAAAAAATCAATTATATTTAGAGATGATGTTAACGAAATTAGAGATAATTAAAATTGTGCAATAAATGTTTTCTTTGAAATTACAGTAAATATTAATTTTTTGTTTTAAATTAACTGATTTAGAAAAGACTAATTTAGAAATTTTATATAATCATTTAAATACAAAAATTTATTACATTTTAAATAATTAGCTCCTATAAATATACTATATTATATTATTTAATTCAAGAAAAAAATATATTTGTTATAATTTCGGTGAAGAATTTATTACATTTTATTTGTTTCATTCTGTATTTATAAATATTTAAATAAATAATGATATTGGAATAAAATATGGAACAGAATATGATATTTATAAAATATGATATGATTCACAGTAATTTTAAATGAATTTAAGTTATTTTAGTAATATATATATATATATATATATATTACTAAAATAACTTATGTGTGTAATATATATATATATATATATATATATATATATATATTACACACACACACACACACACACACACACACACACACACACACACACACACACACACACACACACACATTTACATATATTTTTACATTTAAATAAAAAAAATTTCAAAAAAATATTTGAACATACATATTATGTTTTATCGCCATGTTTTTGTGGCTATTATTTATCTGCCTAACTCGAAAATGTAATCGACATTATCTATAACATTGTTAAATAAATTTTTATATGTTCATATTAATTGTAAGATTAAAAGAAATTTTTATATTTGTATTTTATTTGAAATTGATAAATAGGATTTTTCTAATTAATTTATTTGTAATGGTTATATTGTTCGATACTAAATAATAAAACAATAATAATAATAAAATATTTTTAAATTTATTATTGTGAAAATACAATTTTTTATTTTAAATATTTCATTTTTTTTGCAATTTGATTAAATTTTTAAATATATATATATATATATATATAATATTTTTAAGCTGTAGTTAAATTTTTACTTATCGAAGTTAATAAAAAAATTCATTCTGATTCCGTAATTAATATTTAAAAATAGGTAAAGAATTAAATATTTTATATATGAAAATTGAACTATTCTATCGATGCAGTATTATATAAATACGGCAGTGTTGAATTGATTGTAGAATTAAAGATAAGTAATGACCATATGGTAGAAAAACTCCATGTACTTAAAAATTTTTATCAAACAAAATTTTTTATCTTTAATCTATAAAATATTAGTTAAAGTTAAAGTTAAAATATCTATTCTAAATAATTTATTTTTCATAAATATTTACGTATTTTCCTACTTATTCTTTATAAATATCAATGATGTATAAAGATTTCCTGTTAAGTAAAGAATTTTTCACAAAAATATAAATAAAATATAATATTTCTATAATAAATAAATTGGTATTTTTTATATTTTCAAATATATTATGAAAAATAATAATTTAAAATATGCAATATAAAAATAAAAAATTGTTAGTTATAAAAGATTTAACTTAGAAATCTCTTAAAACTCTTTGAAATTTAAATATTTCGCATTTTTGAATTTTCATTTTTTAATATTTTTGCAATTTAAAATTCGAAACTGAAATTTATTTTTATTTAAGTAATATAATAATAATTAATAATAAAAATAATATAATTATCAAATTAAATTTGTATTTAGATTTTCTATTTATTATAATTAGTTTTATATGAGAAAAAAATAAAATATAAAAATTTAAATGTTTATAAATTAGAAAAATTGTTAATTATAATTCAAAATTTACAAGAATTTCAATTTTCTCTTAATGAAGTAAATTAATAAATT